TCCATTTATTATGATCATTTCTTTACGTTGGACTGTTTGTTTAGTGGAGCAAGAGTCCTTAAAATTAGATAGTAATCTAAACCGAGATCCCATGTATTTTTTGTGAAACGAGTGATGCCATCTAGCGAAATATTACTGATTTAAACTTGCTAACCGAACATTCAGTTTTATAGTGAATGTGATTGTGGACACACGTAAGTTTTAATGTTTTTCAATATTTTAATGTAATATTATTAACTCATAATTAATAGTAAGAATTGCTTTATTATATGTAAAGAGAATGTGTTGATAATTTTCAAAGGATAAGATAAAATGTTTAATGTTGATGCAGGCATGAAATTTTATCAATATATTTTAAGGTTAGGTTAAAAAAATGTATGGAAGTCAAAGGTTGAGGCATAGATAAAGCATGATATGTGGCATTTGTTTAAAATGAGATATTCCAATTTACCTTAACTATCTTGATAATATTATTAACCTGATTTTTCTTTGTTGCAGTAATAATACTTACACAATATGACGGCTGGGTACTCAAAAAACAAACCCCACCGACGGAAGTAGTATAAAGAGAACAACAAAAAAGCAATAGATGTTCAGTTTCAGTTAAAAATCTTTTTATTACTATATACATTATCTACATTTGAAGGTAATGAAAATACATTTAGTTTTTCCGCGGATCTTCGTCCTCGAAAGAGTCCTACTGCACGCAGTATGACTTGCCGGTGTTCTGACCGATTATTTCCATTCCTTGCTTCATATTTAGGCTGTGCAGATCTGCTCCTTGCCGTTTGATATTATCAGAACAGTATGGTGAGTTTAGGGAGCATCGATATTTGTAAATGTTAAGAGTTTAATTTTGTGGCAATCCCTGAAAAATCGCTTTAAAAAAAACAGGGTTGTCCTTTGTATGTATGTGTGTTGTTATTGTTTCTGTCGAATTTAGTGCACCCCAGTGACGGACGTCCTGATGTAGTTTTCCAGCCGCCTAGATATCAAGGGGAATTCTTGGTTTATATTCGGGAAGCTAGCCAAAATCACGACGTCTTGTTGTCGAGCTGAGAACACTTGCGTATTGGGGACAACACTTATAATTTGTAGTGCGTATGTGGTACGTGTTTTATTTGTACATCGATCTCCTTTTGACAGAGTAGATGAGCTGTGTCCAGGCCGTTAGTGTTTGTGCCGGTCGGCGTAGCTAGGTATGAAATGAAATTGTATACGCCGCCACCCTACGAGAAGTCGTTACTTCGTCTTCTTGTTGCCACGGCATTATTATTATTATTTGTTCATGTATGAGAAATTTGTTTCTAAGGTTTATAAAATACTACTGCTAGTCACGGCGTAAATGAAAATAAACACAAATATTCACACAAACACCTCCCACCACAGCAATTACAAATGATTAGTGTTGTCCCCGATACGCGAGTGCTGAGAACCAGCCGCGGTATGTTGTGTCGTTCAGTAAAATCTACGTTGTCGTGGGGTTATGTCGGGTTGTCTTTTAAAAATTTACTTTACGGGTTTGGCGACGTCTAAATATTGTTTTTAAGCAAGCAGCCATGCCTCCTATTGAGATAATTGTCTACTATTATGCTGAATATGTCTTTCTTAACGTCCCTAAGAAGACAATTATGGTAGAATTTCTCAGATAATTTGATTATATAGTTATTTATAGGAGGTATGCCTGCTTGTGTGTTCATGTTAGTTATTCTGCTGTAGCGGTTGCCCTTCAGGACTAGCCTGTTTTGAATTATTTGGAGTTTTTGAAAATGCATCTCTGCCATTGAGCAGAAGACCGGACATCCATATGTTAGTATTGGCCTGATAATTTGTTTGTATAGTAATACTCTGCTATTGAATGTTGTTTTACTGTTTCTATGTAGCATGGGATACAGGGTTTTAATCATGTATATAGCTTTTCAGATTCTGTTATCTATGTGCCTATTGAACATTTATCTCTTATCCAGATGAAAACCAAGATACTTGATACAGGGTTTGACCTCTACCTTCGCATTTTTGACCTTGAGGTTGGTGATAATTTGATCATTTCGTCTATGTGAAAATAAGGCGGTTTCGGTCTTGCCCGTATTTAGTCTCATTTTATTTTCATCTAGATTGGGGATCAACGTTCTACTAATATGGATTTCCAGTCTTCTGTTGGTGATTTCCGCAAAATCTGAACTCTTGTATAAAGTATAAAGCAATAAAAGTTGTTTTAAATCGAGAATGTAGTTATCTGAAAGCGGCAAAACTTTTCCACATACCACAGAGTACTTTAGAATATCGTATTTAAGGAGAAACAAAATAATAAAAGAATCACTTGAAGGTTTAGGTAGCAGACTTGTTTCGTTTAATAAAGCGCAAAAAACGGATCTTTGTTTGGTTTATTACCAACATGGAGACAAAGCTACTGCCGGATCCAATATGTAAGTTGCAAGAGAAATTGTTTGCTTTGTTTCTTAAAATATTTTTTAAATATTATCCAAAAAAGAGCTATTTCAATATAATCTAAAATCGTTATGCAATTTTTAGTCATAAATTGACACATTTCGTATTGATACATATTTTTTTATTACTAAAGTGACCTAACTGTGAATTATTTTTTTTTTATCTAACAATAAAACCATTTTTCCTTCATTCTTTAAAAAACACTAAATAATACATACATCTTTAAAATATTGCTTAACATTTTTGCAAATTTCATTTAATTTTTCTCAAAGTTTAAACATTCTAAGACAGCTCCAAATATAAAACAGTTTTTGGGAGATTCTACGAAACTAGCATTTTTTAGTTGTGCCACTTTATGATTAAAGGTGCGATATATTCAACCTTGTTACATTTCTCAACTATATTTAGCAATCTGTGAGGCTTTTTCTAAAATCATTAGAGTCCAGCCCTGTCAATCATTCCCATTGAAGCTTTAAAATACAGATGGGGTAGATTTCTGCTTGCTTTTGTCAGTTCGGTTCCCTTCGTTATTTAATCGGATCCCGGCCTATTCATCAATTTCTTATCACTGTATTCCTATCTGTACATCAAATTGATTATCCTCAACAAAATATCAAAATATACAGGGTCATTTATTGGAAGACAAATGATGAATGACAAATTGCAAATAATATTTAACTGAATCCAATCTTATACATATTTAATGTTATATATTTTTCAAATTGTACTTCAAATAACTCTTATTTGATACCCCCATTTAAAAAATTACTATATGTGAGCCAATTCCTACTACAACCTTTTTGAATTTTAATTCGTACGTCAAATTGTCTTCAAGTAAAATACCTTTGACAGACATCAATGTGATTTCTTCCAAATCTTCCTTTTTTTGCCAAATTGGGACCGCAATGTGGGACATTTTACCTACTTTCTTTTTGCCAAATCACTAAAGATTCCTTTTCATCAGATGAACGTCTGTATATTGGGATTTTTGGGGTCGTTAATTTTGAACAAGTCATTAAAAACTAGAAATTCAGAATGGTGGAAGTGTTTTGGGAAAGTAAAGTTTTTAAATAGTGGTTTAACTAAAAAACCATATTTTCTATCTTTAAAAGCAAACAAAATAAATCTGAATAATCAGTTCAAAATTTATGCTTAATTAAATCGCCCTGTAGGTTTATCAAATACGTCGAATACGCTTATATACCTGTATAACTCCCTCTTTTTGCCTTTTTGTAAGCGGGAAAAGAAGCGCCATTCATACCATTAATTTGAAAGGTTCCCTGAATAAAAATATCCCTGGGTCATTTTACAAGTATTTCGGTGTTCGATGTAAAAAAAATTGATGGTCATTCGATGATTGGAAAAATCAACTGGAGGCTTTTTTTTCATAATATTAATCGAAAAAAATGGCCCTGGTTTGGGGGAAACCAGAGGAATGTTTTTAAAACTCGTTTTTTTAATACTCGGAGTTAAAGGAGGGTGTAAACAAGGGTTCGGTTGGGGTGTAATGTAATTAAAGGATTTGAAAAAGAGAGTATTCATATGAAACTTATGAATTAATAATAATTATGTTTGAAAGTTTTTGAAGTTACTGATGTAAGCCAATTTACTTTTTATATTTTTTATTTTTATATTTTAAATTAATTTTAAGATAGCTAGATAAGTGATAACCCTTATACATTTTTAAATTTTATTAGTTAAAAGCTTTAGATTAATCTACAGTTTTCTTCTTCATTTTTTAAGTTCTTTCATACTTATACTGAAAAGAGATTGCAAGCTGGAATTAACTTAGTGTTACTTGTTATTTTATTTAGGTATTATAGTTATGACCGATAAAGACAAATATATAAGCTACGTCTGAAGTAACTACACAAATAGGGTATTAGGGGTTTGACTACAAATATTTTAATGCAAAAAAATTTAAAGTATTTAAGGAAAAAAAGTGTAATATACTATGGGTCCTAGCTGAATTTTGAAATATTAGAAATGTTTGTGATATCTGGCAAAATATCAACTTTCCTTTACATATGTTAATTCTAGACGATACTTGGCGAAGAAAACCAGTTTGAAAAATCATATTACTAAAAGTAAATAGATAAGATAGAGATGCGCGATAAGTTTTAAAACTGTTATAAATTAACTGTTTGTTTAACATATTATTTAAGCATTAGAGACAAATAGAAATATAATATTTTGCTAGAAATTACCGTTTACAAAAAATGTTACCGGTATAGTTATAAACATTTAAAAAATGTTCCAATTAAAATATGTAATTTTTACATTCATCATAATATAATGTTATATATGTTGTACATTGCAACAAAATATAACGTTTTATTTTATATTACCATTTGTATTATTTTCATCAACTAAAAAAATATTTTGCTCTTCTAACATTTTACAATAATTATTTAAAAACCTTAATTTCACATAGTTAATATTGATCTGAAATAAATATAACTTCTTGGCACTATTATTTAAAAATGGTGGTAGATAGACCCCTATTATATAAAACTTTTTTACTCGAAACGATTAAAATTTTGACATAAAACCTTGAAATATTTTGTTTATATCGTTCATATTGTTTATATCATTTATATCATTTATATCGTTTATATCGTTTATATCGTTTATATCGTTTATATCGTTTATATCGTTTATATCGTTTATATCGTTTATATCGTTTATATCGTTTATATCGTTTATATCGTTTATATCGTTTATATCGTTTATATCGTTTATATCGTTTATATCGTTTATATCGTTTATATCGTTTATATCGTTTATATCGTTTATATCGTTTATATCGTTTATATCGTTTATATCGTTTATATCGTTTATATCGTTTATATCGTTTATATCGTTTATATCGTTTATATCGTTTATATCGTTTATATCGTTTATATCGTTTATATCGTTTATATCGTTTATAGCGTTTATATCGTTTATATCGTTTATATCGTTTATATCGTTTATATCGTTTATATCGTTTATATCGTTTATATCGTTTATATCGTTTATATCGTTTATATCGTTTATATCGTTTATATCGTTTATATCGTTTATATCGTTTATATCGTTTATATCGTTTATATCGTTTATATCGTTTATATCGTTTATATCGTTTATATCGTTTATATCGTTTATATCGTTTATATCGTTTATATCGTTTATATCGTTTATATCGTTTATATCGTTTATATCGTTTATATCGTTTATATCGTTTATATCGTTTATATCGTTTATATCGTTTATATCGTTTATATCGTTTATATCGTTTATATCGTTTACATCGTTTATATCGTTTATATCGTTTATATCGTTTATATCGTTTATATCGTTTATATCGTTTATATCGTTTATATCGTTTATATCGTTTATATCGTTTATATCGTTTATATCGTTTATATCGTTTATATCGTTTATATCGTTTATATCGTTTATATCGTTTATATCGTTTATATCGTTTATATCGTTTATATCGTTTATATCGTTTATATCGTTTATATCGTTTATATCGTTTATATCGTTTATATCGTTTATATCGTTTATATCGTTTATATCGTTTATATCGTTTATATCGTTTATATCGTTTATATCGTTTATATCGTTTATATCGTTTATATCGTTTATATCGTTTATATCGTTTATATCGTTTATATCGTTTATATCGTTTATATCGTTTATATAGTTTATATCGTTTATATCGTTTATATGGTTTATATCGTTTATATCGTTTATATCGTTTATATCGTTTATATCGTTTATATCGTTTATATCGTTTATATCGTTTATATCGTTTATATCGTTTATATCGTTTATATCGTTTATATCGTTTATATCGTTTATATCGTTTATATCGTTTATATCGTTTATATCGTTTATATCGTTTATATCGTTTATATCGTTTATATCGTTTATATCGTTTATATCGTTTATATCGTTTATATCGTTTATATCGTTTATATCGTTTATATCGTTTATATCGTTTATATCGTTTATATCGTTTATATCGTTTATATCGTTTATATCGTTTATATCGTTTATATCGTTTATATCGTTTATATCGTTTATATCGTTTATATCGTTTATATCGTTTATATCGTTTATATCGTTTATATCGTTTATATCGTTTATATCGTTTATATCGTTTATATCGTTTATATCGTTTATATCGTTTATATCGTTTATATCGTTTATATCGTTTATATCGTTTATATCGTTTATATCGTTTATATCGTTTATATCGTTTATATCGTTTATATCGTTTATATCGTTTATATCGTTTATATCGTTTATATCGTTTATATCGTTTATATCGTTTATATCGTTTATATCGTTTATATCGTTTATATCGTTTATATCGTTTATATCGTTTATATCGTTTATGTCCCTGCCCCACTGGTACTGGGGCCCACGGCCGACCGGTTGAGTAGGCAGAAAATAAAAAAAAACTTATTAATGGGTAAACTTTGGCTTTAGAAGTAAAAGTCGCTTAAAATATTCATATGTGACAACTAGTGACAACGGAATCTTGAGAGAATAACTGAGTTTTAAAAATATTTCTTAGTTGATAATCCTATATTCGTATGTAGCTTTTCTAATGCAATTAAAGCTCTGATAATGTATTTGATTTTACCCGTAAGCGTCAAGTAAAGAAAGGTCTTTCTCTAAATTAAAAATAATTAAAAATTGTTTAAGAAACAGACTCAAGATAGGGATTCTCTAGCACTTTTGGCAATGGAAAATTAGTTGGCGCAAGAAATTGACATTGGCCAAGCTATTACTTCTTTTTCTGAATGGAAAGCTAGAAAAAAGTGTTTTTAGTAACATTTTAGTTTTTGTTCATACATTTATTAATACAGTTCACCTGTACTTTTCAGATTTATAATCAATTGTATAATAAACAAGGTTATAAATTGTATTGTTTAATTTAGCTAACAAGTATATAGTACGTATGTACTAGGATTACTATTTAATCTAATCTTTAGCTATTTTAAAGGACAGTTTTTATCTAAAATTCTAAAAAAATACTAGAGCGGATCCCCACTAAAAAAAGTTGTATGTTTTAATAATTGCGCCAACTTTTTATCTATTGGACTTACATTTGTAGTTTTGCCACTATAAAGTGATTTAGTGTTATAGTAAGCCCGTAGTAGTAACTTAAAATTACACTTAAGTTAATAGTGGTTACTTATCAAAACAATCACCAACGCACAATTCCTCACGTCCACTCCATTTCCATTGCCCTTTCTGTTGCCCTTCGCGTTCTATCACCGAGTCAAGTCGAAAACAAACATGACCGCGGCTATGCCGAAGTCCTTTAGACAGAGAAAGAGCGAAATGGAAACCCGACTCGGAAGCAACATCAATCAAAGCCTAAACTAACCAAGCATACCTTTAATCGAATTATTATTAATTTCTGTCGTTAAAAAGCAAAGGGAAAGCGGTTAAAGTGAGTGAAGGCTTTTGAATTTCCCTCCATAGAGGAAACGCACGGTGAAGCAGATGATTGACAAATGGACGAAATCCATAATTTTAGTTTTAAGCAATAGAAAATCGATATGCGGCTATTTTTTTTTAAGTTTTCATTGAGACGAGAAATGTCGTATAAAAGGGGATTTTTCAACTTGTCTCCATCACTGAAACAAGAAATTAACATATTTTCGTCTCGATGACTTTCTTTAAAAATTATGCAGAAAAAGTGACACAATTAAAATTGTAACGCATTAAAGATATTTTTTCATCCTTGTATCATAAACTACTATTACTAAAGCAGATATAATAGGTCTTTTCCTTTGCATGGAAAGTCTAGCATTGAGTTACACGACTTCTGAAAATATCGTTCCATTTATACAAATTGTATGGAGGGAACGATATTTTCAGAAGTTGCATAGCTCAGTGCTAGATGCAAAGGAAAAGACCTAATATATAAAAGATAACATGATCTTGAATACTCTGGAATATTGATATAAAATATTAATACCGTCATACAATTTCGTCCTGTTTAATATACTTCCTGGTCCTTTCCGTGAGGATTTAATCATTGTAGCTGTCACTAAAGGGATTAGCTAATGAGGTGATGTGGCGTATTTTGTTGAATGGACGATTTTATTTTTGAGAGGATAATGGAAGTTTATGAAAAATGAAGAGGCTTTTTGAGTGCGAGTCTACTGTCTGGCAATTGAATGCAAAAATTAAAACGAAAATATAATCCGTTACCATAATTAGATAAATTTAAATAAAAAACATTTCTATTCCTTGTTAACTTTTATTTCAAATAATATATATACCGGTTTTTAAATAGCGGCGATGCTGTAAAATGTTTAAATCTCATAAATCTACGACGTTTGGGATATTCCGAGATTTATCTGAGACCCATAAACATTTTTTTCATATCTATATATTATGAAGTCATTCGGGTAATTTAAAATTAATCACTCTGTGTTTGGTTTTTAAAAGATAAAAAAATCAATGTTTCAGGAAAATAGGAAATTTTGAAAGATGGTCAACGGGAATTTGGAAGAGATTGTCAGATTATTTTTGGATTGCCATTAGAAATTTAATTTTAAAAACATGTTAAGATATGTAATAGTAAGAGAAGTTAAATAAAATTGATTAGTTGAAATAGTAAAGAAAAAGAAAGTTTTATTTAAAAATATTATAGAAAAGAAAGGAGGTATAGAAGTAGGAGCTGGAAAAGTAAGTCTGGTAAGCAGTTTATAAAGAAGTTAGAACAGAAGTTTGAATAGAAGCTACAGAAGAAAGAAGAAAAACAGATTATTTTTTATTCTAAATTTATGGGTTTTTAATAAATTAAAATACGGTGTGATCAGATCAAACATAGAGAGGATATAGAAAGTAAATTAATATTTGGCTTTGAAAATTTTTATAGAAATTTCACAGGTAAGTTTATTTTCAAAATGTTTCTTTTCCTTTGGTTATCAAAATGATTAAAAGTAAGAAAGTATTAGTAAGTGAACCCAACCCAAAATTCAAATTCAGTTTAAATAAGTTTTCATTACATAATAAAATAAAATATAATTGCTAAGCTAGCTATACTGGGTAATAAAAATAAATTATACATTAGAATACTAATATTCATATCAATATAGTATAATAATACGAAAAATCGTTTAAGATATTAAGAAATTTATTTCAGTACAAGCAGTCAGTACACTTATCAGTTTATCGTTTTTATCATACCTATAAAAAGAAAATTAATTTTTCAGTTCCGTTAATAACAATCGAACAGCAAGATGAAGAAGTACAACTACTTGCGCCCAACATACAGCACAGCATGTATGGAATAATATACCATTTATTGGTCAGCGAAAAGAAAACCCAAGTAGTAAATGGCATCGAACCAGAGATCCTTGAGACGTGAATACCTTAGTAAGTTGACAAACGATAAAGCCACTCCCTATGAAAAGACATAGAGCGATTAAAAATGCATACTGTGCAGAATGCGCCAACCAGGAATGCAGATAGCAGCTGGGCTAAATATACAAAAGTTAACAGATTTGCAGAGCAGCAGCCAAATGTAGAAGAAGAATTATTATCAAACTGGGATCTTCCAGAAAGATTACTTAATCATCCGACCAACTTCTCCAAAGGAAATTGCAAAACATAAAAACAAATATTGATCCCAAAAAAGCTCCTAGGATTATTTTAATTACAGGAGAAATTATCAGACAACTTCCGAAGAAATCCATAATTAAACTTACCCACTTCATTCAAATTAAAATATGCCCCTAGACTGTGAAAAGTATCTGAAGTTAAACCAGGAAACCCCCCAAACGAAGTTTCGTCATATAGACCAATATCTCTATTGCGTATATTGTCAAAACTATTTGAAAAGTTACTAATAAAAAAACTGAAACCCATCATTGAAGTAACGAATTCCAGATTATCAGTTCGGCTTTAGAGAAAACCATTCAACTATAGATCAGGTTTATAGAATGCGATTCAAAAGCATTAAAAAAGAAAAAGAAGTCTGTTTAGCCATCTTCCTCGATGTTGCGCAAATTTTTCATAAATTACGACATAATGGCTTAAAAAATAAAATAAATGTGCTATTTCCACAGCTATACTGAGAGCTACTAGATTCATATATTTCAGATATATTCTTTAGAGTAAAGCAAAATAAAGCATACTCTGAATTAAAAGAAATTAAAGCAGGACTACCAAGAGGAAGAGTCATGGGCTAGGGTTACCAGATGTCAGGAAAAGTCCGGACATGTCCGGAATTTTGACGTTATATCCGTAATGCGCCGGGAAATATAACACAGATGCAATAGATTTTTTTTTTAACATTAAATAATAAGGATAAAATTGCCAATTGATCCGAATGCATTTACAGATCAATTACAAAATTCAATATTTATTGGAAACTTGAATATTGACATTCTAAAACACGAAGAACACGAGCCCAGGAGAAAAAAAATGAATATCTCAATGTTTTAAATGAATTTAGTTACCTATCTACAATAAATAGTCCAACAACGGTTACAGAAAACACAAAATCTTGGATTGATCATATTTTTATTAAATTTAGTTATAATATTACTGACAAAATGATACCCCTTTTTGTACGAACAGAAGTAACAGATCACTTTATAATGGGTCCTATGATTGAACGTTTACGTTATGCGTAACCACGGAAAAAAATGTGACTAGAAAATTTTACTACAATGTTGTAGTAGTAGACTTGTAGAAAAATACTTAACATTTTGTAGAAAATTTTACTACAATTTATAGTTAAAAACTATTCATTATTGTAGCAATTGAATTGTCGAATAAAATGCTACAACAATAGGAAAGAAGTCCACACTGTTTAGTATATTTTACTATTGTTTGTAGAAGTAGAAATTTATTACAATTATCGTAATTACTACTAGTAACTTCTGTAAAAATTTGTACAAATATTAATAATTGTCTCTACAAAAAATAGTAATTTTCTCTACAAAAAATAGTAATACTTTACATTCCTTCTTATGAAAAATATTCAATTTTGTTCAAAAATATTCTTTAATATTGTAGAAATTCTAAGTCATGTGAACAAAACAGAATCCTGCTATTGGCCAACGTTTTCTGACGTCGATCATAAATGGCCAGACAGCAGTAACCGTTCGCCATGTTCACATAACAAAGCATGGTACATATACGAGTACCTATAACACATTATTATATTATAAGCACCGATGCGTTTGAGAAAATTTTAATAATAAATTCTATTGGTGGTAACTACATTTATTATTGTTTTTGAACAATTTTAGATAACTAATTTAAATAACCTTAGTAGATTATTTAAAAAAAAATAGTTGTGACCAACGATCGAATGTTGTGCCCAACGATCGAATTTTGTGCCAAGTTCAATGATGTTTTTTTGTCTTAATTGTGACATACCTACTTTCTCATTTTTGTTAGTTATCTGACTTAGTCATTTAATATC